CAGTACCTCCTATATACGAAGCCAAGCCTCTAGGGTTGCTTGAACGGTCTGACGTCATCTAAGTCGTCATTCCTACCATCTTCCTCGCGGCAAAGAATGAAAGAATATACTTCGGTGTCGTAGCGTAGTGAACTGACTGTTGTTTGAAAGTGTGCTCTAATAGAACATTTTTCATTTAAATTATTTATTTTTATTATGCCACATAAATGCTGTGTTGCAACATGCAAAGGAAATTATAAGAATGGCCCGAAGGTGGCTGTATTTAGTTTTCCTACGGAAGAACAACTGAGAAAACAATGGATTTGGAACTGCAAACGAAAAGATGGATTCAAGCCTACGAAACATTCAAAGGTAAGCATGAATTTCATTTTTAAATTAGAAAATTCCTGAAAGATTAATGTCATTGAAAGAAACATGACTTGAAAATGCGAAAAAAAAAAAAATTCTCAATGCAAGGGAAATAATTTACTAAAGTTCCATTGCATTCAACCATAGAAAATAAAACGAAGTTTTAATTACTTTCTATACAAGCATAGTTATATATTTATTTACTAGGCAGAAATTTCTCTTATCCCATTATGAATGAGTATTATTAATGAATTCTTTCAGTAATTTATATTTTCGGCGTCGGGATCTTTATAACACGCACATTGATTTGGGATTGATTAATCTTTCAGGAATTTATGTTATACAGAGCTTATACTGAATTTTAAAGTGATTATAAAATGGACCCTTTTCTCAATAACTAGTCAATAGAAAATCCACCAACCTTATAAAGTTCATATTATAACTTTAAGTAGATAAATATAAAATGCTTCAAGTCGTAATTTTAAAGCCGTTAATTTAAAGTTGTTTTAGATATAAGTATTTAACTGTTTGGGTATACTATTTCTTTTGATTTAGATAAGTCTCGTTCCACCTATTTTATTTTTATTTTTTTTTTTCTTTTTAAAACTGAATGTATGCAATGCCCCTTTATTATATGCTAGGAGCATTTGAGAATGCATTTTGCTCGTAACTCATGTGAACAGGAAATTAATGCTAATTATGCAATGTTCTAAACTTTATTAATTCTAAAATCCTTAAAAAAATTATGAAATATATGTAAAGAAAACAATCGTATAAATGGACTAGTTTTGACAGTAATTATTTTAATTTCTGGAATAAGTTACAAGGTGTTTAAATTAAACTGTCTTGTTCAAATAATATTGCCTAAGATTGTAAGCTTACTAGTTTTCATTACATGTTAGCATAAATCCTAATTAGCCTATTAAATTGTTTCATGCACACACACATCTATAAAAGTACGAGTTTCTTATGCCAATAACACCTACCTTGTTACAGTGGTTCACTTGCTACTGGCAGTAAGTTCTTGTGGGCTTGAAATTTACATTAATTTCTTATCTAAAAACACTTATATAAGGGGTTTTGTTTATTTATACTTGTTGCAGTGGAATATGAAAATGTTTCATTGTATTAATAAGTTATATAACTTTTAAAATTTTTGAAAAAAGTTAAGAAAATTATATGGAAAATAAGCAATCTAGTGAGCCTTCCACAGTAATATAATGTCAAACACGATTGATGAATGTGAATATTTCACTCCAAAATTACATAAGAATAGCCTAAAATATTTAATTACTGCAAATAAACTGTTAAATATACAAATTCTTGTTTTTTTCTTTGTGTATCATATTTTAGCACTTATACATGTTTTCAATAATTCAAGAAAAATGAATTTTTTTAATGACTAATGATGTTTTATGCTCTTAAATATAAACATTCATAGGCACACAAGTAAATTTGTACTTCTGGTTGTGAACATATCATTTGTAAAAAATGTTTAGAAAAAGAGCCAGTAACTTTATATTTGAATGGTACGAATGAATGTGGTTAATCTTATTCTTATCCATCAACTGATGGTTAATCTTATTCTTTTTATAACTGTATTATCACCATTTTGAATGTAATTCCATAACCAAGTGTTGTTTTCAAATAACTGAAGAAAGAAATATTTAGGATGTAGCAATTATATATACATGAGCAATTGTATGTTACCTGAGGATGTATCAATTAAATATTACTTATGTTATATGCATTTGACATATGACAACAAACATGTGCTAATTATTTGCACTTTTCAAAACTTTATGACAGCATCCATGGCTCTTTTTAGCCCAAAAGAGTTAATAGTTTTGTTTTAAGATTTTGCATTATTCACTCTAAATGGCTGCATCACTTTTTTGCGTTGTGCACTTTAAATGGCTATATCTCTTCAAATTGTTACCATCCAAACATTATCGCCCTGTATTATTTTTAAAGAAATTAAATGATGAACGTTTTCCACAACGGTAACCCTTCCCTTAAGCAGATAGCTCTTGAGTGCTTTGCCATGATTAAATAAAAATACAATAAAACCCTTATTAGACTGTGCATGTATTTAAAGGATGGCGAATGCTTACGATTTTTATAATTGTTTAACCTTTTGATACATGTTTATTTATTTGTTCTTTTTCATATTAAAAGGTGTGTGAACTTCACTTCAAGCAAGAGGATGTTCTGAGGCAAACTGAATTCTTTGATGAGAAAACTGGAAAGAAGATCATTATACCATTGTCATATCCTCGTTTAAAGAATGGTGCAATTCCAAGTCTGTTTCCTGATGGTCCGAGTCATCTTAGTTCCAGTGTTTCATCAAGGGAATCACCAGAGCATAAAAGACTCAAAAGAGAACAAGATGCACTCGAAAAAGCCTTAGCCTGTAGCTTAGCTGAAAAGGAAGAGTATGAACGAAAACAAATGTTTTATAATTTAGATGAACTAAAAATTTGTTTTAATACTGTGAATTTACCAGATAACTGGATAGTTATACACAGGCCTATACATACTATGATTCTTAATATTTCTAATGACAATCATCCAAGAATTCTAAAATCATTATTGATTGATTGTAATTTGAATATATCTGTAGCAATTAGAAATATACCTATTAAATCACTGAAGCAATATGTAATCCCATCAAAAATTAACAACCTTAAAGATCTTTTAAGTATTTTAGAGAAATTAGACCTATTTGCCTCAAATGATTCATCTGAAGACAGTATTCAAAATTATTTACAAATTGTAAATGAATTAATGACAATTTTAAAAGAGAAAATTCCACATAAAAACAATGAAATAAATTTTCTCGTTGAGCAACTATCAAACTTGAATTCAGAAAAACAACAATATAGGTATTCTGCAGACTTTCTAATATTTTCCACTTTACTTCACACAATTTCACCACATGCATATAATTTTATTCGAAATTCAGAAAATATTATTATGCCTCATCCACGGACCATTCAGAAAATTTTTTCAGATTTTAATATATATCCAATAAATGAACAATACAACCAAAAGTTCCTAAGCTACATAAAATTTAAATTTCAAGAACTATCAGAAAAAGATCTGCTTGTTATTTTAATGATTGATGAAATTCATCTAAATCAAGCATTTGATTATAAAGGTGGTAATTTGTGTGGAATGGCATATAATTGCAAAAATGCTGCATCTAGTGCATATGTTTTCATGATTCGCAGCCTATTATCTGTTTATAAGGATGTTGTACATATTTTGCCGGTGAAAAACACTTAGTGCAGATAATTTGTATATTTATATTAAAAAAATTGTTGTGGGATTAGAAAATATTGGGTTTAAAATTATTGCTATTGTCACTGACAATAATTCGATTAATAAAAAAGGCTATGTCTCTGTTTTCAGAACCACCTAAAGTTAGTATTGTTTATCAAAACCCTGTTGACAAATCTAGGCCAATGTTTTTTATTATTGATACAGTGCATATTTTAAAATGCATTAGAAATAACTGGATAAATCAAAAAAAAATAATAATCAGAGTATGTTTTTCCCAAGTTTTGATGATGCTTCACATATTGAAACTGCATCTTTTTCTTGTATTAAAAAATTACATGAATCTGAAACTGGTAAGTTATTAAAGTATGCTTATGGTCTGACAATAAAAGCTCTATATCCAACTAACTTAGAAAAAACAAAGTGTAAAGCTTGCATTGCAGATTTTTAATGATAATGTTGTTGAAGCATTATTTTCTTTTGGGCAGCAGAAAGAAATAATAAATTTCCAAGAAACTGGAAACTTTATTAAAATAATAAACACATGGTGGTCAATTGTAAATGTGAAATCTATTTTTAAAGGGGTTCATAAAAATAATGTATTTGAAACACCTTTCACTGTGGCAGAAAATGATGAAAAATATGTTTTTATGAATAACTTTTTGAATTGGCTAGATAGTTGGAAAAATTTGAATTTAACCTCTGGTTGCCTAACCAAAGAAACTCACTTTGCAGTATACCATACAACGTATGCTTTAATTGAGATATCAAGGTATTGTATAAATGAGTTGGGTTTTAAATACCTTTTACTTGGAAAAATACAAACAGATATGTTAGAGGCTAGATTTGGTAAGTACAGGCAACTGGCTGGAGCTCACCATAATATTTCTATCAGACAGGTTTATGAAATAGAGGGTAAATTAAGACTTCAGAGTACATTACCAACCCTAATAAATTCTTCAAAATTTGGAAATATTCCTCTTCATGTATCTGATTTTAAAGACACTGAAGAACAAACTTTTGATGACACTGATGTACAAACATTCATAGATGAAATAACAGTTGAAGATAGTGATATACACGACATAAAATTGGATGTACCTATTTTGACTTATATAGCTGGATATTGCTGTTATAGTATGCTAAAAAAGTTAAAATGTGATGTATGTAAATCCAATATTACTATTGATAAGGAGTTAGCTTTAGAAAACGATGAAAATATTCATTCATGGATTAAGGTTTTTGATAGAGGTCTTATGTATCCTCATCCTGATATTTTACATGCTGTTATATACAATTTTATTGTTGTTAAGAAACTTATTTCAGATGAATATGAGCAAAAATTTTTATTTTCGGCAAATCCACGAGTTACAGTGTGTAAAATTACTCTAAATTTACTTCATGAAAATTTTTTTTTAGAGTTGAATGACTGTCCTAAACTTCATGACCCTCAAATTATTTTGAAAAACATCATACAAGCATCAACGAATATTTTTCTAAATAATTACTGCAAAAAGTTGAATGATAATCTTTTAAGTAACAATTTAAATAAGCAACGGAAATTGAAAACATTAAAAAAATAATTATGTATACAGCAGAAATGACATATACTATGTTTATAAGTTAGTAAACTTTATAAAATAAGATAGTGACACTAATCTATTGTTTCTTATTATCTTCAGACTTAATTTGTAATTCATTTTATCTAAATGAATATTTTTTGCAGAATGTAGATAGTATGTTAAATAAAAAAATAGTGCTTTTTCTATTTGTGTTGTGAAATCTTTACCAACTCTTTCAAAATGCATGCACACACAAAAAAAAAAAAAAAAAAAAAAAAGCATTTGTAATAGTTAACTAATTATGACAGTAAAGTGCTAAAGTTGTTAAGTCTCTTATATAATATCATTTTGTGCAAAATAGGTGTATTTATTGTAAACTAGAGAAATATTGATTTTTGAAGATAAAATACTTTGCCAATTAATATTACTATTGTTTAGATTTTGAAATCAGTATCTTGCAATTTTTTAATATTATTTTAATTGAAGCAGACATGTTTATTACATTAATTTTACACTGTAAGAAGAAAATACAGTTTGTTTTTACCTACAATTCCATATGAGTCATTTTTATAGATATTCATGCATTTTTATGGAGGAAATTCACTGTATTCTTATACAATATTTTCATTGTAATACATGCTAAATTCTGTCAAAACTAAAATTAAATACTTTGGAATTAAAATTTCTAATGATGTGGTTGTACATATACAGGGGAAAACTTATCAAAAATAAATTGAGTAAAAAAATATTTTTAATCCTTCCCAGCTGTAAGGCTTCATGCAGTTATACTAAACTATTTTGATATTAAAAAGACTTAACTGTAATAAAAAATAAGTAGCATCAAGTTACATAAATAAATAGTCATCCCACCCTTTTTCCCACTGTAGTATGCAATGCCATTTCCTATTACTTCCAGTTATAAATTTACTGGTACAAAAAATTCAGGCCAAAAAAAAAATAAATAAATAAAATCCTTTTTATATGTTTTGCATCCTAATTGTGTTGCTTTCCTTTAATAAAAATCTGAATTATTTTGAAAATTTTAAATCTTACTTTACATCTTAACAATCAGGCTATATTTATTTTCATTTCTAATAGGAAAATACATAAAACTTGTTATTCTTTCAATTCTAAGAATTGAGGACATTTGATCTATTTAGATGTTTTAAAAGTTCCTACTGAATTACCCTGATAAAAATTCCAGTAAATACATATATAAACTTCATATTTATCATTTGCTAAAAAATTCTCAAATAAGTTACAATGAAATGCTTTCAGGAACAAAAATTTACAAGTTACAAAAAAAAATTATATGCACATAATTAGACAAAAGGGGTGTTACAAACATTTAACAATAAGAATGAAACACAAGAATTTTGAATTCCTAGCAAGTGTCAAGTTTGTTGAATTTTTACAATTTTTCTTTTTTTTATTATTGGGGAAGATGCAGTTATGTATTCTCAAATAATGATCTAATTTAAAATGCCTAAATATATGAAATGTTTTGCTACCGTATTTTAAAACTACCAATGAATAAATATTGATAGATGCTAAAAAATAGTATTTTTCAAATCATTCTCCAGGTTTCTCATCTGTTAAGAAATTCAGTCCCACACTGAAGTGAAAAAAAAGCGGAAAATGACTAAACAATTATGTGTAAATTTGTATTTATGAGAAACAGAAAATGCCCTTTAAAAATTGATTAAAATTAATTTAAGGATTTTAGTGTTAATCAATTGTAAACTTGCTTAATTATGCGTTATCCTCTTTGTTAAGGAAGAAAATAATTAATAAAATATATATTCTTCAGAAAGCAAACCAGCATCAGCCAGATATTCAGTATATATTTTATTACTACTAATCTGAAGTATGTTGAATTAATTTCTTTACTATACTGTTATTATTTTAAGCATAAAAATATATAAGGAAAGTAAGGTTAGGTATTTGAAATTAGAAAATGCAGTCGATGAAATCAAATCGGAATATATATATTTGCACACACACACACATATATATATTTAAAACCAAACGATATAGTAAGCCTTATGCAAGGAAATAAAAACTACTTTTCATTTTCTCTCCTCTTAAAGGAATAACAGCGATAAGTGGTTTCATGTGGCAACCATGCTTTCTGTACATAAGGACGACTTTAGTGACGTAGTGTGCGGCGTGCCGTGGCTTCGTTTATAGGAGGTACTGACTACAGTCGCCTGGACAGTGGGAAAGAATTACGCCATTTGGATATTGTTCCCCAATCAGCCCACGAGCTACGCAGGAGCGCAGTTATGTAGATAGCCGGGAGAGAAAAAGCTACAGTTCAAAAACAGCAGGTGTCATCCCCGTGCTAGAGTCGACTGGAACGTCGGAAAACAATACACTTTGGTGATGGTTCCCCAGACAGCCCACGGGTTACGCAGGCAAGGGCCTATGTTGTTAACTGCACTGGCAACCTTCCAGCTCAATAACAGCAGGTATCCACCCCCGTACTAAAGTCATTGGATCACGGGACAAGAATTACGCGCTTTGGTGATACTCCCACGAAGCTAACGTGCTACTCAGGCGCGCGCATATACGGTTAGTTGGGAGGACAAACTCTCAAGGCAAATAATAGCAGATGTCCACCCCCGTACTAGACTCGACTGGACCGTGGGAAAAGTTACACACTTTGGTTATGGTCTCCTAGACAATTCACGGGCTACCCAGGCGCGCGCCCATGTTGTTAGTTGCCTGGAAGAATCCTCCAGGTCAAAAGCAGCATGTATCCATCCCGGTACCACAGTGACTGGACAGTGGGAAAAAAATCGCCAATGGACCAAGTCCTCGCTAAGTGGCTTGACCACGAAAATTTTCAAGTCAAGGGAAAAGGCAAGAAGTCCGCCGACGCAAGCATTCCGCCAAAAGTTTAAGTCGAACAGCCCGTCACCCCGAAAAGCTGAGTCACGCTTGATGGGAAAAGAATCCCAACCGGGTGAAAATCACGGTGCTCCGGTGGAAGCTGGAAAAGCGCTAACAGCCCAGACCAAAAGGCAACTCACTCCCAATTCAACCCCCCCCCCATTCTAAAGCGCAAACTCCGCCAAAAGCGAAGATGGTTTATAAGCCCTCTACCATCCCCCGCACAACGTAAACTCTTAAAAAACAGCTTTAATGTTAGACTAACTAATCTCTGCTAAAAATGCAAACGAAGGGGGGGAATTAAGTGTTGAGAATAAAAATGAAGCATTAGTGCAGCCAGTATGCAAGAGCTATATTGTCGCAACATGATACAATAATTAAAAACATATTCCAGAAATATGATTACGATTCTTAACATTCAGCTACCATTGTTAAACACAGTTTCTAGAAGTATGATTACGATTCTCAAAATTTAGATACCATAACTAAACACAATTTTTAGAAGTGTGTTTATTATTATCAAAATTTAACTCCTTGTAAATGATCTAT